AAAAATAATCAAAATAATTTTATCCCAAATATTACCTTCTCGATTAAAAAAGGGTATAAATGAATTAGGTACAGTTTGGAAATGGATAGCGGGAACCCCAGGCCATGATGATATCATTGCAGTTCAAAATAAAATTAATGCCTTTGTTCGAAATAATAACAACCAATATATTAGAAACTCCAAATTATTTTCAGTAATAAAAGCCTATCTGATGTTCTAAAATCAACTTCCTCAGATCAAGAGTTGCCATTAGGAAAACACCGTCTTCTGTTATTAACACTTGATATTCAAAATCTAATAGATACTATTACACTTGCCAAATCGATGTTTTTAACATAAAAATTTTAAATAATAATGACATTGATGAAATTTATAAACATGAACATAAACCTGTAGTAATTTTTGACTTAATGGATATATCTGAATTCAAAATCATGCTACGTAATGAATTAATAATAATATATATTAAGTACCCAAAAATTAGGGATCGTTGCGACATACATATATTAAGACCCGTTTCACAAAAAGATGGAAAATTAATAATTAATAACCATATCGCTAAATGTAGAAATAAATATTTTGAAATGACTCATTTTATTGTAATTTAAGTCAGCATGAATCATGTTTTACTCATCTGCTTAATGACAAAAAAAAACACAAGTTACAAAATAAGAAAAAAACTTAACAAATATATAAGATGGTGCCATTCTTAAAAGCGGTCAAAATATTGTTAACGAAACTCTTCGAAATGGGACATTCATTTAACTTTCAATGGTACGACCGTAATTAATAATATACAAATATTGAAAATAAAATATAAGATTACATATTAGCTCGGAAGTTTAACAATTTTTAAATTTCTAATTATATTTTATCCTTATGAAATTCGGTAGGTCTAATTAATTGGCCAAAAATAAAACTCATAGAAAATCCCAACTTCCTAACTTTAAAAACACCAATGTTATGGCTTTTCCGATCGCTCAGTTATATGGCAGCTATATGATATAGTCGCCCGATCCGGCTCGTTCCGACTTATATACTACCTGCAATAGAAAGACAACTTTTGGGAAAGTTTCAAGCAGATAGCTTTAAAACTGAGGGACTAGTTTGCGTAGAAACGGACGGACGGACGGACGGACAGACGGACGGACAGACGGACGGACGACGGACGGACGGAGACGGACGGACAGACGGACGGACAGACGGACGGACAGACGGACATGACTAGATCGACTCTCCTGGTGATGCTGATCAAGAATATATATACTTTATAGGGTCGGAAATGTCTCCTTCACTGCGTTGCAAACTTTTGACTGAAATTATAATACCCTCTGCAAGGGTATAACAAGAAAGGAAAGCTAACTTCGGGCGGAGCCGAAGTTGATATACGCTTGCAAAATACTTTGTCAATTATATTCTCCAAAATTATTCATATGGTTCTTAATACTCATAAAAAGTCCCGACTTCCTAACTTTAAAAACACCAAAGTTATGGCATTTCCAATCGTTCAGTTATATGGCAGCTAGGATATAGTCGGCCGATCCTTATAAAATTTGGTAGGTCAGATTGATTGGCCAAATATAAAACCCATAGAAAATCCCAGCTTCCTAACTTTACAAACACCAAAGTTATGGCATTTCCGATCAATCAGTTATATCGCAGCTATTAGATATAGTCGGCCGATTTTTATGCAATTTGGTAGGTCGGATTCATTATCCAAATATAAAACCCATAGGAAATCCCAGCTTCCTAACTTTACAAACACCAAAGTTATGGCATTTCCGATCAATCAGTTATATGGCAGCTATAGGATATAGTCGGCCGATCCCGGCCGTTCCGACATATATACTGCGTGCAAAGGAAAGAAGGGTGTGTGCAAAGTTTCAATTCGATATTTTTAAAACTGAGAGACTAGTTTGCGTAGAAACGGACAGACGGACAGGCGGACATGGCTATATCAACTCAGGAGGTTATCCTGATCAAGAATATATATACTTTATAGTGTCTCCTTCACTGCGTTGCACACTTTTGACCAAAATTATAATACCCTTTGCAAGGGTATAACAATGAAGCTGGTTAAAAAAGGTCAATTCTATGTGTCGACATAAAAAAAAAAAAAAAAAAAAGCGAAGTTGAAATTGCAGAATATTCTGCAAATTATATTCTCAAAATTATTCATATGATGCATTTTTAATACTCATAAAAAATCCCACCTTCCTAACTTTAAAACAAAGAGAACGTATAGTATATCAGATACCGTTACTCGGTAAAAGGAGATGGAGATAGAAACTTTGATCATAACTTTTAACGAATGTTTGAAAAATTTATTCTACATTTGAGTATTGATAAACACAATAAAACTGCATTTTTACTTTCGAATATTTAAATTTTAAAATCGTATATAAATGTGGGCGTTAAAGGGGCTGGACCATTTTGAAACAAACTTGCGCTAGAACCCTAGAATCTGCATGCAAAATGCCAATCTTCTAGTTTTATAGTTTAGATCTCCGTCTCGGACGACAGACGGACAGACAGACGGACAGACGGACGACGGACAGACAGAGGACAGACGGACATGGCTGATACTCGTATCCTGAACAAGAATATATATACTTTATAGGGTCGAAACGCTTCTTCTAGCTGTTACATACTTTTGACGAATACAATATACCCTTTACTCTACATAACGGTATAAACACCAAAGTTATTTCATTTCCGATCAATCAGTTATATGGCAGCTATAGGATATAGTCGGCCGATCTTATGAAATTTAATAGGTCGAATTGATTGGGCCAAAATAAAACCCATAGAAAATCCCAACTTCCTAACTTTACAAACACCAAAGTTATGGCATTTCCGATCAATCAGTTTAAAAAAATGACTTAACTATACAAAACTCAAGTTTGGAAATATAAAAGAAAGAAGTTAGCACGATCAATAGTTATATGGTATATAAACTCAGGGTTGACGGAAGACGGACAGACGGACAGGCGGACATGGCTATATCAACTCAGAGGTATCCTGATCAAGAATATATATACTTTATAGTGTCTCCTTCACTGCGTTGCACACTTTTGACCAAAATTATAATACCCTTTGCAAGGGTATAACAATGAAGCTGGTTAAAAAAGGTCAATTCTATGTGTCGACATAAAAAAAAAATTAACTAGTTTTATTTAGAGGGTGGCTTACATTCCTTTTTCCCTTATATAACTTTTTGCGATGTCATGAAGTAGTCCCGCACAGTTAGATATCGTTACTAAGTGAACGGCCGTCCACAGCAATAGTGCACTTGAAACCATTTATAAACTACTTTTTTCAGCCAAAGGCATTAAATCTAAGACTGAAACTCAGACGTGACCAATTATTTCTGCAAAGCCGTGTTGCTTGTGCTTGGCACTCAAAAAAAGTTTTGGGATAGGTACTAGTTTTCTTTAACTTAATTTGAAGTACAAATTTAAAAGAGGTAAAAAGTAGACAATTTTGACAGTATCAAAGTAAAGGTAGAAGGTAAAAATAAAATGTAGGAATTTTATTTTAAACATTAAGTTAAAATTTTAGCAGTGACATGAGTTAAAAACCGCTGCATGGAAAACAGCACGGTATAATTTTTATACCCTTGCAGAGGGTATTATAATTTTGGTCAAAAGTGTGCAACGCAGTGAAGGAGGCATCTCCGACCCTATAAAGTATATATATTCTTGATCAGGATCACCTCCTGAGTTGATATAGCCATGTCGGTCTGTCCGTCTGTCCGTCTGTCTGTTTCTACGCAAACTAGTCTCTCAGTTTTAAAGCTATCGAATTGAAACTTTACACACACCCTTCTTTCCTTTGCACGCAGTATATAAGTCGGAACGGCCGGGATCGGCCGACTATATCCTATAGCTGCCATATAACTGATTGATCGGAAATGCCATAACTTTGGTGTTTGTAAAGTTAGAAAGTTGGAATTTTCTATGGGTTTTATATTTGGTCAATCAATCCGACCTACCAAATTTCATTAGGATCGGCCGACTATATCCTATAGCTGCCATATAACTGATTGATCGGAAATGCCATAACTTTGGTGTTTGTAAAGTTAGAAAGTTGGGATTTTCTACAGGGGTTATTTTTGGCCAATCAATCCGACCTACCAAATTTCATAAGGATCGGCTATATCCTATAGCTGCCATATAACTGAACTATTGGAAATGCCATAACTTTGGTGTTTTTAAAGTTAGGAAGTTTGGATTTGTTATGAGTATTAAGAATGCATCATAGGAATAATTTTGGAGAATATAATTATAGAGTATTCGGCAAGGGTATATCAACTTCGGCTCCGCCCGAAGTTAGCTTTCCTTTCTTGTTATATATAAGTTTTTTTAATTACCATTTAAATAATGGTCACGTAAATTCATACTGAGTTAAAGCCTAGTGCAGTGGCCTATATCGGCAAAAGCATTGGCTTCACATAATTATATTTTTTAGTATTTCGGTATTCATTTTGTTTTGTGATCAATGAATGTCCATGGGCAATTGCATATGTTTGGATGGCGACTCCCATACTTCAAAATAATTAAATAATGCTTAAGCTTATCTAGAAAACTTTGTGCTCTTAGTGGCTAGCATGTTTTTCTACAAAGCTTAAAGGCGGGTTCATCCCATCCCATTTTTTTTTATTGTAATTTCAATTGAAATTATTTTTATGTTATGTTTCATTGTTAAATTGTTAATATCCAATGGACAGTCTAATATATGTATTAAAATAATATTCAATATTCAATATTTAATGTTTTTTTCCGTGTCGGTTAGGTAAGAGAGAGCCTAGTTAAGGGGGGAAATGACTCAAAAGTGTTTATAGGTACGTACCTAGATTGAATAACGAGGTATTCCCCAAAACTGCTTATATATAAGCCATCAGCTAGGGAGTTCAACAGTTATAAGTAGCCTATCGTAAAATGCAGTCTAAGTTGTCTATTGCGAGATATCGGCCGTCTATTCTCCAGTTGACGCTACTAATGACACTAGCTGTAAATGGATGTTGTAACACCAGTTTAAAAGCGGTGCCAAAAAGGAGCATTGTTCTGGAAGACCATGTTCCATGGACAAGGGTAAGCGGTGCGAGAATTTTAAATGGTGGCCCATGGAACCAGGGCTGGTCTGCTTCTATCGGATTCGGACCTACACCCAGTGAAGTGTCAAATGCCATTTCAGTGGCCAGGCAGGCTTCAGCTAACTTTGCTGTTGCGCAGCAACAATTGCAGGCTGCTAAGGAGAATGTGTTAAATCAACAACGTATAGCCACGGAAAAGCAAACGCAGGCTGTAATACTTAAGCAAAAGTCTCAGGCGGCAGCTGCTATTCAGCGCTCTGACGCTATTCAACAACGACTCGCGGCATCAAAGGCAGCAGTGGCTCATGCTGCCGCTCATGCTGCTGCCGCTGAGATTCAAAAGAGTGAACTCGAAGCGGCCAAGCTTAGCCACTTTACTCGAATTGCGCACCCAAGTGCTGGACACCACATTTCTTCTTTAACGTCAGCCAACAATCATTTGTCTATATCTAATCTGGAACCGATCGGCTTTGGGTCATGGCTAGATAGTCAGGGTAACATTCCTGGAAAACCAGTAAATGATTGGTATTAACTTAATTATCACCGTAATAATTTTTGTAATTTTAGTTTAAGACCCTACAAATAAATTCATGCGCAAAATGTTTAAAACGAAAAAGGAATTTGATTTCGCAATTGTTCAGAAAATTTATTAAAATCTATATTTTTGTCATAAACTTGAGAATTACGCGAATTTCGTCAAAAGCAGCAAATTTAATAAACTTGACTTGATCGTTGATTTGGTAGCTAATGGGTAATGGATTTTTAAGCTTCTAAATTAGTAAAAATTTAACTTTTTTATTTGTAATATAATTTTAAAGATATGAAAAAGATCCATTACATTATAAAAATGTTTTGGTCAATTTCTACTGAGGACTTATTTCTGCTAAAAGTGTTACAGTTGTTGAAACATTTTTAACCGGTTTTAACCTTTTACTCGCTTCTTTCCATTCTTTATCTTTATTTAATGTATTTTTATACGTCCATTTAAGGGGGGCTATGTTTAATTCGGCCAAAAAAGAACTCTTTTTATGAATTTTTTCACACGATACGGTTATAGTCAGATCAATTGTTTTTTAAGCATACTATAGTTGTACTTTAAACTATGTTTTCACAAATTTTCATCGAAAAAAAAAATAAATGAGCCGTTCGCTGCCAAGCTCCGTAGGCGCTTATTGTTAATTGTTTATTAGTTAAGATGTTTCTAAATATAACTAAGTTGAGTTTTTTTTTTTATTAAATTTTTGGATTTTTTTGAAACACTTTAAGGTCAAAAACGATCGTGTTCATCGACTTTGAAATTGCAACTTTCAGGAAAGCGTTTTAAAGTTTTGGACACCGATAAATCGAATACGAAACGAGCTAACTCACCTACGTTCAACTGCCCATAACTTCGGAAGTTTTACTCGGATCAATCTAAAATTTAAACGTAATATTCTTCAAATGCTGTGCACTCAAGACACGTAAGATAATTCTTTTCCTTGCGGGCAAAGGTTAAATTCTTTACAAAATACTATACAACAATTTGGAGTACCATTTTCTTAACATGCATCAAAGAAAAACAACGAGTAGTGCTACTCTTAAATTCTTTAAAATCTTTTAGCCCTTATTGTGGAAAGAAATCTTTACACTGCAGTGTTATTTCAAATTGTCATTACGATGAGGCTTAGATATTTTTGAATACTTTCTTGACTTGTAGTCCCCTTTATAATTTTTAAATTTTATTATATTTTATTTTTTTTGTGCTATTTTAAATTGCCACTGCGATAAGGTTTACATATTTTCGTCTACTTTCTTTCCTTAAAAATTGTATAATGTTATATTTTTATCCTTTTAAGAGGGTATCATAATTTCAGTTAATAGTTTGCAACGCAGTGAAGGAGACATTTTCGAACAATCAAGGTGAAAAAGATGTCAATATAAATAAAAACAACCGCTTCAATTGAGTTCTGTTTTAACAGTGAATTTTATTTTTTTAAGTCCCTGCATAGGAATCTAATTTGAAATTCTTATTATAATCTATGGCCTACGCAGCGACCACATCTGCTTGCCCAGACGGGAGGGTTATCTTTAGACCCCCTCGGCGGAACACTTGGTGCATCGTGATTATATTTTGGGTAGGCTCGGTTGGCCTGCACTTACAGCTACCGCTTCTCTTTTGTTGATCATAAATTATGACTCTAAAATGATTTACATACATAGTCACACATGTCGTGCACGGAGCCCATTAAATCTTAAACTTTATTAGTGTTCGTCTGATTATTCCGGAAAGGGCCGGCAAGATTGAGGTGTAACAAAATTCTTGGTAATAATTATTTTAATATCGATGCGATTCAAAAATTAGTAGATTGTATGTACTCGATTCAAAAATTAGTAGACTGTATGTACTCGATATATTTTGTTTTGCACGATAACATTAACACCTTGCAACGGCCTGCGATAATTTATTAATAATATTTTTATAATTTTTATTTCCTTAATTTAAATATTTTCTTTTTATTATATGGTTGTACACGTAAATATTAATATTAATATTAAATATACCGCTGGGTACGGCTATGGCTTGTAATTGCCGTCTTATAATTGCTAAAATTAAAGACAGTATGTACAGTTTAATGATGAAAATCAAGGTCTTTTATTCCAGCTTATGAGTATAAAGGATTTCTTTTGATAATCAATTAATCTCATTAGCATGGATTACACAGGCCAATAATATTTAGACCCAAACACTGGAAACCAGAACCCACAGTTTCTGAGATATTCTAACCTAAAAGTGTGAAAATCGACGTTTTTGGCATATTTCAACAAGCTATATATTCGATAATACATTTTTTTGAACATTAGCACCAATTTTACCTCAAAGTGCACATCCTAACCTTTAAAATTCGTTTTTAGTTTTTTAAATACGATTATTCGTTCCTGAGATATCATATTTCAACAAGCTATATACATATATTCGCATAAGAAAAAGTGGGTCCAGTTTTTGGGTCCGGGATTTTCTAAAATTTTGTTGGCCTGTGTTATTAAAGGCGAGTCGAGCTGATTCCAAAACAATTGTCGGTATTTCATTAACTTCTCCAATGTATGACAAAGCCAATGTTCCCTGAACACTGACACCTTTGACATTTATTGACCCTATATTTTCTGCCATAAGGTGATATGCATTAATCTCGAAATTATAAACTAAGTACCGGGAATTTACTTGCACCGTTATCATTCGTTGGTCCAATTTAACTGGCACTGGGACTATTTGATAAAGTACCGAAGCATGCCTACCGAATAAAGGTATTTTTGCATTAATAATTAGTTTTTTATCCACAAATAAGCCCCTAGCCGTTAGTAGCATACAAGCCTCCAATGATACTGTGCCTGTTCTTTTTCCTGGCAAAACTACATTTTCACACAGACTGTCTTTTATTTTGGAAATTTCACCTTTTAACTGACTAGGCTTTAAAATATTATTATTAAGTCGATCATGGTTGATGTCTATTAATAGGCTTATGATTCCATTTTGGATTTTCTCGCATTCATCAATGGCGTTACTTAACTGCTTTGTTAACATAAAAATATCAACTATTAATACTCTTTGTACACTTAATAAGATTCTTGTAATACAAACCTCAATTTTTTTGTTCATTCCTTTAAAATTGGAGTTAACCTCATCAGTCGTTTTTATACCCTTGCAGAGGATATTATAATTTTGGTCAAAAGTGTGCAACGCAGTGAAGGAGACATCTCCGACCCTATAAAGTATATTCTTGATCAGGATCACCTCCTGAGTTGATATAGCCATGTCCGTCTGTCCGTCTGTCCGTCTGTCTGTCCGTCTGTCTGTTTCTACGCGAACTAGTCTCTCAGTTTTAAAGATATCGAATTGAAACTTTGCACACACCCTTCTTTCCTTTGCACGCAGTATATATGTCGGAACGGCCGGGATCGGCCGACTATATCTTATAGCTGCCATATAACTGATTGATCGGAAATGCCATAACTTTGGTGTTTGTAAAGTTAGGAAGTTGGGATTTTCTATGGGTGTTATATTTGACCAATCAATCCGACCTATCTAATTTCATAAGGATCAGCCGACTATATCCTAGCTGCCATATAACTGAACGATTGGAAATGCCATAACTTTAGTGTTTTTAAAGTTAGGTAGCTGGGATTTCCTACGGGTTTTATATTTGGCCAATGAATCCGACCTACCAAATTGCATAAGAATCGGCCGACTATATCTAATAGCTGCCATATAACTGATTGATCGGAAATGCCATAACTTTGGTGTTTGTTAAGTTAGAAAGTTGGGATTTTCTTTTGGTTTTATATTTGGCCAATCAATCTGACCTACCAAATTTCATAAGGATCGGCCGACTATATCCTATAGCTGCCATATAACTGATTGATCGGAAATGCCATAACTTTGGTGTTTGTAAAGTTAGGAAGCTGGGATTTCCTATGGGTTTTATATTTGGCCAATGAATCCGACCTACCAAATTGCATAAGAATCGGCCGACTATATCTAATAGCTGCCATATAACTGATTGATCGGAAATGCCATAACTTTGGTGTTTGTTAAGTTAGAAAGTTGGGATTTTCTACGTGTTTTATATTTGGCTAATCAATCCGACCTACCAAATTTCATAAGGATCGGCCGACTATATCCTATAGCTGCCATATAACTGATTGATCGGAAATGCCATAACTTTGGTGTTTGTAAAGTTAGGAAGTTGGGATTTTCTATGGGTGTTATATTTGACCAATCAATCCGACCTATCTAATTTCATAAGGATCAGCCGACTATATCCTATAGCCGCCATATAACTGATTGATCGGAAATGCCATAACTTTGGTGTTTGTTGGATGTTGGGATTTTCTATGGGTTTTATATTTGGCCAATCAATCCGACCTACCAAATTTCATAAGGATCGGCCTACTATATCCTAACTGAACGATTGGAAATGCCATAACTTAGGTGTTTTTGAAGTTAGGAAGTTGGGATTTTTTATGAGTATTAAGAATGCAGCATATGAATAATTTTGGAGAATATAATTTACAGAGTATTCTGCAAGGGTATATCAACTTCGGCTCCGCCCGAAGTTAGCTTTCCTTTCTTGTTTTCAATATATTAGTCGTAGAATCGACTAAGGAGGTTTGCTTCCTACTTAACTTGTTTACCCTATGTTCATTGCTTCAAGGGTTCTTCATATTACTCTCCATCTGTATCCTGTCTTTATCCATTATCCTAAATAAAATGTAATAAAGCGATCCCATGAATCCAAACGGAGCTCGTTTAATTCCTGAATTACCCTGAATACCATCAAAAATTTATTATTTTCTTCTAGGTCTGAGATCTGCAGTTCTGAGTTATCCAGAACTAAAAGACACTGATCCTCAAAGCCATGAAGTCTTTCGCAAATAGCTCTCTGTTCGCGCCCTTTTCGTTTTTTAATTTGTTGAATAGTGTAAGGCGGGAGCACAATAAAGATTTTCGCTCTCGCGAATTCGCCCCGTCTCTCGCCCCCTTCGTTAAG